GGTCTGTAACCTTTTTACAATAGTATCTGAAAATGTGTCATATTTATTCACTAGACATTCATTTTCAATTTAATAACATCTTGTACACTACAAATTAAAAACACCGTCTTCCTTAAATACATTTTTGTACTATAATACAAAAGTAGCAAAATGAAACGAAAATACAAATTTTTGCAAAGGGAAAAACAACAAACTTAGAAAAAAAAATTGTATTTAATAATTATAAAATAATTCACTTAAACACGACTGGTAGATTGAGTTAACATAAATCTTGTAAACAAATTTTAATAGATAATAGAAAAATGTAATAAAAAAATCAACAGTTATTTTAGTAGACTATAAACTTATTTTAATAAATACTAGAAATAATATAATAGCCCACCTATAATTTACCGTGTAATAAATGCATCATACAGATGAAAAAATTAAATTAAAATAATTAAAAAATAAAAAAACAGTTTCCATAAATATGATTAGACGGATAAAAATATTTAAAATTAAAAATAAATTTTAAAATATAAACTTCTAATACTCGTTTAATAAAAATAATTTATATTTAAAACAAACAGTAATTATAAAAAATATATATGACCAAAAAATATATAATACAATTATATATGAATAATAATACAATTTACAACTAATATTCTGCATAATATAAATGTTATTAAAAAATATATAGGTAGCACAATAAAACGAAAACACAGTAATACAGTGGAAACAATAAACTAAAAATATCAAAATAATTAAAATAAAACGTAATTTTCATAACCATGGTTAGTTGGATACAAAAAAAAATACATATTTTTAATTAATAACCAATTTAAAAATATAAACTTACTTGTTAATATTTTAACAAAATAACAATATTATCTACTATTTTTCATGTGTAAATTATAGAACTAAAAAATGATATTATAAAAATATAAAAACTTAAAAATGTATATAGTCTGTGAAAAGAATTATAAGTCAAATAGAAAACGTCAAAGTAATGATCAGTTAAACGATAGTAAACATTAAAAAACTATAAAAAAAATTGGTAAATATACTCGTATATCAATAATTCATATTAAATCGTAGGTTAAATAAAGAGCAAAATAATGAAAAATTGTTACCAAAACTATTTTAAAACTGTCAAATAGTCACGAAAGGTATATGAGGTTTTAGTCGTGTGCTTTTGCTTGATGCCTTTTAAGATGATATTGGCAACTATACGATTTTTTACAGACGGAGCATTCATATCGTACCCCACCAATATGTATGCGTTCATGAGTTTTGAGGTTAGATGGATGACAGAATGTCTTTGCACAGACATCGCATTTGTAAGGTTTCTCTCCGGTATGTATCCTTTCATGATTTTTGAGATTAGATTTTTGACTGAATTTTTTTTCACAGACATCGCATCTAAAAAGTGTTTCTCCGGTATGTGTTCTCTCATGAGTCTTGAGAGAAGACTGTTGACTGAATTTTCTTTCACACACATTGCATTTAAAAGGTTTCTCTCTGGTATGTATCCTTTTATGGTAGTTGAGGTTAGATTGGTGACTGAATGTTTTTTCACAAACGTCACAATTAAAAGGTTTTTCTCCAGTATGTGTCATTTTATGAGTTTTGAGGTGTTCTTTTCGTCCAAATGACTTTTCACACACATTGCATTTAAAAGCCTTTTCGTCCGTATGAATCCGCCAATGTCTTTTCAGGTTTGATTTTGATTTGAAACTTTTTAAACAAATACCACAATTAAATAGGACATCTTTGTTTCTAGTATAGTTATCAATAGAGTTTGTACAATTTGAAGTGTCGATCTCGTTACACGGATAATGAATACTGCAACACGCATGAAACAAAATAAATTAATTTAAGATCAATATTTTATAGCAAATATTAATATTACTATTATTATATGTGTTAATGCATCAATCAAGCATAATTTTTAAGAAATAATTTCAAGGATTTCGCACACGACACATAATAGTGTTGAAATTTACCCATTTGAAAATATTTTTACTTGTGTTATTTTTTAAAAATATAAAATATAATTTTTTATATTTTCAAATATAGAAATTAGAAAATATTTATTTATTTATCTTGTTTACAATGCATTAAATATTGGATTTTAAATGACTTCGTAAGTATTATAATAATTCAAATCTAAATAAGTAACGGTCAGTCTACATGTTTTATACATTTATAGAATATAAAAAGGGCGAGTATGTAATTTTGTATACAAAATATTATAAAATATTACTAGCAGTAGAAATACTCTGAATGTTATTTTTTAAGAAAAAAAAATAAAATAAAGAGGAGTTGAAGAAGTAGGAAAGTACGACAGAATCATAGAATTAAATATTCATCTCATCGAAAACTATAAGTAAATTAGCATTGAGAATAGCTACGAAATAAAAGAATAAGAGTAAACATGAATGTATGCAATTTTAATTTTATTACAGACAATTAAACGCGAAACAGAGACTAGAAATATAATAAGAGGGCTCCATACAGACCATTTTTAAGGAGTTTTGTATAGGCAATATTTAAGAAAAAATTGGTTTAAATAAATTTCGACCAAGTCAATAAATTTACCGGTTAATTTGTATAAGCTTCAAGGTATTATTTTTAATTTAAATCATTTTGTCTATGAGTAAAAGCCATTTGAGTTAATACAACATACATTTTTTGTTCCATCGCACAGGCTCAACCAGTGATCCGATAAGTAATATGAAAACAGATTTGAATTCGTCATGAAATTTACTTGACATCGGTCGACGTACTTTTTTGATTTCTTATTACTACTATGTATAAAACACGTTTGAACATTTTATACAATTTCAACATTTTAAAATAATATTTAGAAAGGGTTTAAATTTAAAATTGAAAAAAGTCCTTCGACCGATCCTAAGTAAACTTCATGACAAATTCAGATCCGTGTTTAGATTGCTTATCGGATCACTGGCTAGGCCTGTGCGATGGAATGAAAATTATGTATTTTGACTGAAAAAATGGTCTGTATGGAGCCCCCTAAAAGGTAAAATTATTTTGCATGGTAATTTTTTATTCAACTAATACATATTACAGTATTATTTATAAAGCAATAGTAATTATTAACTTTTAATATAAACTGAGTGGCCATAGACATAGATTGGGTCTCCTATCGACAGTTATTTTCAGTACCTACACTATATTTTCATTAAATATAATCAAATTATTTATATATATATATATATAAAAAGTGGGCCAGAGAAACAGGAAAATTTGAAAGTTTTAGTGGCAGCCCTAAGGAGCTTCTAGAAAGGCGATAGTGTTATTTTTATGTTCACAGGTAACTGCTATTTAGTAATCATGGAATAGTAGGTCGGTTTAGACACCATAATATCCCCAAAGGAGGACTTGAAAGTAACTTATGCTTACTGTTAGTAATCAAACCTCACTTATAACTGTTATTTGTGACATGCATGATTCTTCTTTTAATAATTAAAGTAAACAACCTCATCACTAAACCGTCAATCAACGTTTACTTAAAACGGTAATTTATGCTTAAATTCTATTTTTCTTTGTTATGTCCGTGGTTACCTTAAAATATGGTTTTTAATTCGTCGTTTTGTCTTAAACGATTTTTGGCAGTAATTGCAGTCATACAACGGTGTTAGCTCGTTTTCAGCATCAAACAGTTCATGCCTTACGATTTCAATATCTGATTCGAACACACAGTCATTGAAGCATTCTTTTCCAAATTTGACAATCAAATTGTCGTTATTGCAGCTAAATTTACAACAAACAAAATTAACATAATTTATATTTTGTATTAAAATTAAAAAAAATATATACATAATAGTAACAAAAAAAAAGAATAAAGAACTTGCATGAATGTTAAAATTTAACGTGACACAGAGACTAGAAACATATTACAAGGGTAAAATACTTAATACCTGTGTAAAATAAAGAATAATTTAGTTTACATTGTTTGAAAAATAAAAACCATCCAAATTTTCAGTGGTATATTTTGTTTTTTTAAATATTTAAAACTAAATTTTAATTTACTTAAGTTAGATGAATAACACAAAACTACAAGTATGACTATTGACTTATAGGTAAGAAGTCAAGACGATAAAGATTTAAGCTAAACGATAGACCATTTAGCGGACTAGGTTAATTTAATGTGGCGTTGATCCCGTATCATTAGACACAACACGACTCCGGTGTACGAAGCACCTATCTTTTAGGATACATGGGATTTTATACTTCAATAACTAAATAAGTGATTGGCTTCTTTTTGGTGTGAAAAAGTTACATAGATGCACATGGTCAGTTTCCAACAGCTGAATTAAATATATTTTGGTTTTGAAATGTGTTTCATTCACTAATTTGTCAGTATCGTGTTTATTGTTGGATACATCATAATGCTCATCAACTAAGTAATTAACAAAGCCTAAATTATTATTTTACTGTATATTCAGACTTTTATCTATAAATAGTTCAATAAATTTGGCTTTTGTGTAAGCATAGAAGGTCTATTAGCTAAAAGGAGAGTAAAAAAAAATACATATACATTTTTTATATATACTTAAAATTTGGATTTATTTATAATTCACAATCAGACCATTAACATTTTATTATTATAGAGATAAAAATAGAAATTACTTATGTACTATATATAAAACTTTTAAAATAGTATTTACTAAACAATTATTTTAAAAGAGTATACATTTTACTGCAAATTTAACTGATCGATAACAAGTTTTAAATAAACTCATATGTTTAATATAATTTAAACCCTTATGATTTATAATAGCTTAAAGTGAATTAAGTTACTCAAGAAAAGTTCATGTTTCTCTTTACTTTTTATAACGTCAAAAATAATTGTTTAAACAATATTATTAAAACTATTTTGAAAATGAATTATGACATCATCAATTACATTTTTTTTTAAATTACGGAGGAAGTCATAGTTACAAAAGCTTAATTGTTTTATCTAGTAAAAAATGGTATTAAAATTGACTTACTCATAAGTATTGTTGACTTCATTCTTTACTATACACTCCTCTATAGTAGAAACTTCATTGTTTTTGAACTGCACATTTAACGGTTTGGGTGCAATGACTTCAAAGGAGTGTTGTTCTGTTTCATCATTTTCAAGTTTAATTTTCAACATTTTATACCGCTTCCAAACTCTATAATTGACATTTATAGGACAAATTAATTACAAAACTTTACTATTTTATTAAGTATTAAATTTAGTAATAACAATGATATAACAAAGAATAATTTAGTTAACATGATTTGAAAAATAAAAAACCAACAAAGTTTTGAGTGGTATATTTTGTTTTTTTTTTAATATTTAAAACTAAATAATAATTTACTAAAATTACATGAATAACACAAAACTACAAGTACGACTTGTTGGTAAGAATCTAACACGATAAAGATTAAAACTAGACGATAGCCCATTTTGTCGACTACGTTAAATTAAAGTGACATTCTGTGTCATTCAACCAAACTCTGAGCAATTAGTAAGTAATAAACAAACACATATGGATTATGATTCTATTTATTAACAAGCAGCATTCTAAGTCAATGGAATACGGAAAACACGACAATAATGTATACAAAACGGTAGGTACTCACATAACATAGAACCGTAAACCGCTGTTCACGGCTGCTACTTAAAACTTATAATAAATTATTAACAGACAAGACAAAACACAATTGTAACTTACTAACAAAACACAACGCAATACGGTTGTATTTATCATAAAATAAGTTATTATGATTAATATTTAGAAATTCTCACGAATCGGACCCGTAGCAACAATAATGAAAACCAATTGTTTCTATGGCGCTAAATCTAATTGAACTAGTTATAATTCACAGAAAGGAGCGATTGCAAAATAAAAATCTCGGACACTAACAAAAACAAAATTTGTATTTAATGTAGGTTTATTAACGCGAACTGCAGGACAAATGACAATGCAAACATTTTCTAGACAGATTTGTGATAGTGTGTGTTTGTATGATAACGAGTGATTGTCACAGGTGGAGGTACACCGCAGCATGGAGGTAAACTGGAGTTTTATAAGGCATACAAATCAATTTCCCAACTCCGGTTTCAAAGCTTGTTGTAAATTTACCTTCATCGAAATCCTATAAAATGTATTAATGCGTTTACCTAAGTTTTTATTCGATATGGAAACCCCTTCGCTGACTTGTAAAATTAGTGTTCAATATTATAATTACATTACAACAAAAATACCATGTGTTATCTTTATCCCTATATTTTTTTATACAGCGTAATAAGGTAGTACGATTCGGTTTTTAATTTATCTGAGAACGCGACCATTCTGATTTACTACTAGCCAACCCTAATTATGAGTATTTTACTTTTAATCAAATATAAAAAACTATAACAAATCATACTATCTTTATAAAATATAAAACTGAAAAAATTAAAGATTAAAATACAAAGTTGTCTAGGGGACTTTTTAGGTATTCACCGTGTTTCCAATCAGTATAAAAATATAGTAAATAGTAACAAATATTATATTTCATAAGTTTGAAATAAGGAAAGCTAAAATTATAATAAATATTATATTATGGTTCCTCGAAACTTTTGAATAATGAGTTAAACAATAGTAAGAGGTTTTTACAAACAACCATTCTCCTGTAAAATTGTCTTTTTGTATCTACTTACATCGTTTAATCTTTGTTGAAGTTTGAACACAGTTGTATATTTTAAAATAACACAATACATTGTGTTTAAATTAGGGTTGGGACTAATATTCGGATTTGGCGGATATCCGGATTATTTGATATCCGGATAATTCGGATACGGATATCCGAAATCCGGATAATTTTGGATATCCGGATAATTGATCAACTATCCGGATATCCGAGTTTCAGATATCAAATAATATTTAAATTATCCGGAGAACCAAAACTATCCGAATAGTTAAAAAATTATCCGGATAGTTTCGGATGTTAATTTAATTTTTAACCAGCCGAATATATTTTTTTGAGTACTCAAATTTATGTATTTTTTGAAACTTTCACGGGTTGAAATATCACATGGATGATTTTCAGATATATTCGTGTCAGTGGTTATTAACCGGCAGCGGAACAGTCGTGACAACCCTGAGGATGGACTCTGCAAAGAGTCCGAATAGTCGGTTAACAACCACTAACACAGATATATCTAAAAATCATTCATGTGATAGTAAAATTTAATTAGGTGTCGTTATTTAATTATTCGGTATGTTTAAAAACACTGTACCTATATTATTATGGTATATTTGTCTTATAAAAATGAAATGAATATCCGGATAATTTTTAACTATCCGAAACTATCCGGATTTAGGATATCCGTATCCGAATTATCCGGATAATTCGGATAGGCCCAACCCCTAGTTTAAATCTCTAAAAGGTCCATGTTGAGTCTATTATCTTATGTAATATTTGATATGGATCGTATAAATATTTAAAGTTAGATATTTTAGTTTAGATATTTCACTTGTATTCAATTCATACATGATTAACTAAATAATTTTATTTTTTTGTTCCAGAGCTGTTAATTTAACTCATTTTTCTCTACCTCAAAAATGCCATAGACCAATCAGATATTATGTGCAATGTATATAAACTTAACTAATATTTAAAATAAATCAATAAACAGGCTTTTCCGTTACTTGATACGCAAGTTTATTTATTTTACTCTTAATACTGGCTTTTTTTTGTCAAATAAGAGACATACTGGTGCATTTAGCGCGAGTAAAGTATTTATTAAATGTATCTATTTAATACTATACATTATCCATTTTTCATACATTCTTGTTTTAACATTTAAAATATATTATTAAAGTTAAAATTAAATTGTCAGTTCTTATTTTTGAAGTTAAATTATTTCTCAAGTAGTATTTAATAATACATTTTTCTAAATAAAAACTTAATTTAAATTTAATAGAATAATGGTGGTGTATTGACAAACTGTGAGATATTAAAAAGGAAGAAGGTTTTAACTTAACCGACAAAACATTAAAATTTTTAAATTTAATTAAAAACATTTCTTTCTTTGTTTTCGCTGCTTTTTGCCTGTTTATTACTAGGCACTGATTGGCAAAGATGCTTGTTTTTAACTACTTAAAGTTGTATTAGCTACATTCTTAAGTTATAAAAAAATTAACTCGAGCAAGTAAAAAGTTATTTTTTACAAATTCATCTGAAGTTAAAACAACGATTAAAAGCTTATTACGAAAAATCTGAGTAAGAAATGTTTCATCATTTTCAAGTTTTAGTCGTGTGCTTTTGCTTGATGCCTTTTTAGAGTATTTTGGTGACCATACGATTTTTTACAGACGGAGCATTCATAACGTACCCCACCAATATGTATGCGTTCATGAGTTTTGAGGGTAGATTTTTGACTGAATTTTTTTTCACACACATCGCACTTAAACGGTTTCTCACCGGTATGTATCCTTTCATGTTTCTTGAGATCACATTGTAGACAGAATGTCTTTGCACAGAAATCGCATCTAAATGGTTTCTCACCGGTATGTATCCTTTCATGTTTTTTGAGATTAGATTTTTGACTGAATTTTTTTTCACAGACATCGCATCTAAAAAGTGTTTCTCCGGTATGTGTTCTCTCATGAGTCTTGAGAGAAGACTGTTGACTGAATTTTCTTTCACACACATTGCATTTAAAGGTTTCTCTCCGGTATGCATCCTTTTATGAGTTTTGAGGTAAGATTGTGTATTAAAACATTTTTCACAGAAATTGCATCTAAAAGGTTTCTCTCCGGTATGTATACGTGCATGAGTTTTGAGGGTAGATTGTTGACAGAATGTCTTTGCACAGAAATCGCATCTAAATGGTTTTCACCGGTATGTATCCTTTCATGTTTCTTGAGATCACATTGTTGACAGAATGTCTTTGCACAGAAATCGCATCTAAATGGTTTCTCACGGTATGTATCCTTTCATGTTTTTTGAGATTAGATTTTTGACTGAATTTTTTCTCACAGACATCGCATCTAAAAAATGTTTCTCCGGTATGTGTTCTCTCATGAGTCTTGAGAGAAGACTGTTGACTGAATTTTCTTTCACACACATTGCATTTAAAAGGTTTCTCTCCGGTATGCATCCTTTTATGAGTTTTGAGGTAAGATTGTGTATTAAACATTTTTCACAGAAATTGCATCTAAAAGGTTTCTCTCCGGTATGTATACGTGCATGAGTTTTGAGGGTAGATTGTTGACAGAATGTCTTTGCACAGACATCGCACTTAAAGGGCTTTTCGTCAGTATGAATCCGCCAATGTCTTCTCAGGGATAATTTTGATGTAAAACTTTTTAAACAAATACCACAATTAAATAGGACATCTTTGTTTCGAGTATAGTAATCCAAATAGTTTGTAAAATTTGAAGTGTCGATCTCGTTACAAGGATAATGAATACTGCAACACGCATGAAACAAAATAAATTAATTTAAGATTAATATTTTATAGCAAATATTAATATTACTATAGTTATATGTGTTAATGCATCAAACAAGCATAATTTTAAAGAAATAATTTCAAGGATTTGGCATACGACACATAATTACTAAAATAGTTGTACTTTATCTGTTTGTATTTATGTTATTTTAAGTGGCAGCTCTGAGGAGCTTTTAGAAAGTCGATAGTGTTATTTTTATGTTCACAGGTAACTGCTATTTAGTAATCATGGAATAGTAGGTCGGTTTAGACACCATAATATCCCCAAAGGAGGACTTGAAAGTAACTTATGCTTACTCTTAGTAATCAAACCTCACTTATAACTGTTATTTGTGACATGCAGGATTCTTTTAATAATTAAAGTAAACAACCTCATCACTAAACCGTCAATCAACGTTTACTTAAAACGGTAATTTATGCTTAAATTCTATTTTTCTTTGTTATGTCCGTGGTTACCTTAAAATATGGTTTTTAATTCGTCGTTTTGTCTTAAACGATTTTTGGCAGTAATTGCAGTCATACAACGGTGTTAGCTCTTTTTCAGCATCAAACAGTTCATGCCTTACGATTTCAATATCTGATTCGAAAACACAATCATTGAAGCATTCTTTTTCAAATTTGACATTCAAATCGTCGTTATTGCAGCTAAATTTACAACAAACAAAATTGACATAATTTTTATTTTGTATTAAAATTAAAAAAAATATATACATAATAGTTACAAAAAAAAAAGAATAAAGAACTTGCGTGTATGTTAAAATTTACTATGACACAGAGACTAGAAACATATTTCAAGGGTAAAATACTTGAAATCGTTGTAGGTGGAATGGTAGAAAACAATATAACATGGTAAATATCATGAGAATGTACGGTAACATAATGCAGTAATATAGACTTAGACGGTCATCGTACCCACAATTTTTTTTTTTTTGGTATTTTGGTTTAACATCATATTGATAAGAGGTAGATATAGTTTTAAAACAATCTTTAATCAAACGAAGAAGTGGTTATTACTATAAGTTAAATGTCAGCAAACGCTAACGTCGATACCAACGATGGTTTATAGAGGAGGACGACATAATTACAAAAGATTAATAAATTTATTTAGGATAAAAAAAATGGTTATAAAAATAGCCTTACACATAAGTATTGTCGACCTTATTCTTTATCAAATACTCCTCTGTTGTAGAAATTTCATTGTTTTTGAACTGCACATTTAACGGTTTGGGTGCAATGACTTCAAAGGAGTGTTGTTCTGTTTCATCATTTTCAAGTTTAATTTTCAACATTTTATACCGCTTCCAAACTCTATAATTGACATTTATAGGACAAATTAATTACAAAACTTTACTATTTTATTAAGTATTAAATTTAGTAATAACAATGATATAACAAAGAATAATTTAGTTAACATGATTTGAAAAATAAAAAACCAACAAAGTTTTGAGTGGTATATTTTTTTTTTTTTTTTAATATTTAAAATTAAATAATAATTTACTAAAATTAGATGAATAACACAAAACTACAAGTACGACTTGTTGGTAAGAATCTAACACGATAAAGATTAAAACTAGACGATAGCCCATTTTGTCGACTATGTTAAATTAAAGTGACATTCTGTGTCATTCAACCAAACTCCGAGCAATTAGTAAGTAATAAACAAACACATATGGATTATAATTCTATTTATTAACAAGCAGCATTCTAAGTCAATGGAATACGGAAAACACGACAATAATGTATACAAAACGGTAGGTACTCACATTACGTAGAACCGTAAACCGCTGTTCACGGCTGCTACTTAAAATGTATAACAAATGAATTACAGGCAAGACAAAACTCAATTGGAACTCATTAACGAAACACAACGCAATACGTTAAGTATTTAATATTTATCACAGAATTCGACCAAGTTATTTTGATTAAAATCTAAAAAAAATTACCAATCGGACCCGTAGCAACAATAATGAAAACAAATTGTTTCTATGGCGCTAAATCTAATTGAACTAGTTATAATCAACAGAAAGGAGCGATTGCAAAATAAAAATCTCAAATACTAACAAAAACAAAGTTTGTATTTAATGTAGGTTTATTAACGCGAACTGCAAGACAAATGACAATGTAAACATTTTCTAGACAGATTTGTGATAGTGTGTGTTTGTATGATAACGAGTGATTGTCACAGGTGGAGGTACAACGCAGCATGGAGGTAAACTGGGGTTTTATAAGGCATACAAATCAATTACCCAACTCCGGTTTCAAAGCTTGTTGTAAATTTACCTTCATCGAAATCCTATATAATGTATTAATGCGTTTACCTAAGTTTTTATTCGTTATGGAAACCCATACGCTGACTTGTAAAATTAGTTTTTAATATTATGACCAAAAAATATATAATACAAATATATATTAATAATAATACAATTTACAACTAATATTCTGCATAATATAAAAGTTATTAAAAAATATATAGGTAGCACAATAAATCGAAAACACAGTAATACAGTGGAAACAATAAACTAAAAATATCAAAATAATTAAAATAAAACTTAATTTTCATAACCATGGTTAGTTGGTTATAAAAAAAATACACATTTTTAATTAATAACCAATTTAAAAATATAAACTTACTTGTTAATATTTTAACAAAATAACAATATTATCAACTATTTTTCATGTGTAAATTATAGAACTAAAAAATGATATTATAAAAATATAAAAACTTAAAAATGTATATAGTCTGTGAACAGAATTATAAGTCAAATAGAAAACGTCAAAGTAATGATCAATTAAACGATAGTAAACATTGAAAAACTATAAAAAAATTAAAGCTGACACTTATTTTCCCTTTAAAATACCTATATGTAATAGGTAGTTTTTCTTCGTACTAAAGAAAAAAAACAATACACTTTTATTAACATTTTGAATATATATATATATTTTTTTTTAATAGTATAATTTAAATATTCTTTTGTGTTTTATTATAAAATATGCAAATAAAAACTCAGTATATCGATCAACTGGTAGCTTAGTTGAAAACCGTGGTACAAATCTAAAAGAACTAAAATGTGTGTATTATATAATTTGGTAAATAATATAGTGAGGAGTTTTTACAAACAGCCAGTCTACTATAAAATTGTGTTTATGTATCTACTTACACTAATTATTAATTAAGCCATAGTTCTAAAATATTATATATGTGCGTTTTTTTTTTTACTTAAGCTATCACGTATGATCTTTGTTGAACACAGAAGTCTATCAATGTTGAATCTATTATCTTATGTAATATTTAATATGGACAGTTAAGATATTTAAAGTTATTTCGCTTGAATTAAATTGATACATTACTAACTAATGAATTTAATTTATTTTTTCCAGAGCTGTTAATTTAACTCATATTTCTCCACTTCAAAATGTCATAGACCAATCAGATATTATGTGCAATGTATATAAGCTTAACTAATATTTAAAATCAATCAATAAACTGGCTTTTCCGTTACATAATAAGCAAGTTTAATTATTTTACTCTTAATACTGTATTTTTTGTCAAACAAGAGACATACCTATTGGTATATTTAGCACGAAGAAAGTACTTATTAAATGTATCTATTTAATACTATACATTATCCATTTCTTATACATTCTTGTTTTAACTTTTAAAAACATATTATTATAGTTAAAATTAAATTGTCAGTTCTTATTTTTGAAGTGAAATTATTTCTCAAGTGGTATTTAATAATACATTTTTCTAAATAAAAACTTAATTTAAATTTAATAGAAAAATGGCGGTGTATCGACAAAGTGTGAGATATTAAAAAGGAATAAGGTTTTAACTTAACCGACAAAACATCAAAATTTTTAAATTTAATTAAAAACATTTCTTACCTTGTTTTCCCTGCTTTTTGCCTGTTTATTACTAGGCACTGGTTGGCAAAGATGCTTGTTTTTAACTACTTAAAGTTGTATTAGCTACATTCTTAAGTTATAAAAAAATTAACTCGAGCAAGTAAAAAGTTAATTTTTAACAAATTCATCTGAAGTTGAAACAACGGTTAAAAACTTATTACGAAAAATCTGAGTAACAAATGTTCAAACTACATTTTTTATCGTTTTACTTACAATGACATTACCTTTATTATGATAGCTTTATGCTCCTGTTAATTATCACGGTGACAACGTTTAAATTTCAAATAAATAATTATCAGAAATTTTTCCAAAAATTTGAAATTGTTACCCCGTTTTTAAGATTCAGTTTTAATAGATTTAAGTTATTCAAAAACATTAAATTATTAACCACAAAAAAATGGTGATTTCCAAAGTTTTTAAGTTTAATTAACAATTTATCTATCTGATATTGTTACTTAGTTGTGCCTACTTAAAAAAATCTACAGAAATATCTAATTTCGATTTATTATATATTTTTTGCAAAAAGAACTTTAGCAACAAATTGGTAATAATTACTAAATCCTTCGATGAACTGTTGATGAGACATCGTTTCTTATACCTAAACAAATAACGTTATTAACTCTGAAAATACCTTATTGTTTTAAATCAAGCGAAACCAAAATTAACTATTAAGTATTTTAATAAATAATAGAAACAGTATAATAACATATATTTTCTTCAACGTGTAAATAATGCATCAAACAAATTTTTTAAAATATAAATGTAGAAAGAAATTTTATACAGATGAAAACATAATATTAATAAAATTAAAATATAAAAAAAGTTTCTATAAAAATGATTAGTCGGATAAAAATGAATAAATATTTTAAATTCAAAACCAAGTTTGAAGTATAAGCTTACATAATACTCGTATATTATACATTATTATGTTAAAACTTAAATTATTATAGCTTCACTATTATAACTGTAATTTAATATTTTTATGTTTGAGAACAATTAGTTTTCGAGTACCTTAATCGGAATTACAAAATATGATTCGACAAAGGTGAATAAAAAATTGAATTTTAGATAAATAACCTTACCTAAGAAAAGAAAACAATCAGTATAATTAAAAAAAAAAATGTTATTTAAACATTTACACAGAAAGTCCGACTATTACGCTGTGCTGATTTATATACAGTTTCAAATAAAATATAAATTTAAAACTCAAGTTAAACTACTAACAAAAAACCATCAATTCAAAATTAACTTGTATACGAGTTTCTAGCCAAGACATTGCCTGAATAGATTTTATAATTTATACATTTGTTTTGTGTGTGAGCTAGAGAAATGTACTATAAAAAATATATTTCAGCACAATATTAATTCAATTAAAAAGTATATTTGATATTTATCTTTTTTTAACTTGGACGTTAAATGCCTTGGCTACCTATAATTACCTCGTAATTAACAATATAATGAAAATATGTTTATTATCTGTGTTAATTTACTCACACCTAGCAACCTGGAATTTGTTTACAATCAATGTACTCAAATCATGTATTTTAATTTTTATTTTGTGGCCTAACTATAGGTACATAATATGTATAGTAAGTAGTATAGTAGCACTATATTATAGTTTTGAACAATTTTGAACATCCCTTCTGCCCCAAATTGCACATCATTTTGTTAGTAAAAAAAATAAACAATAATTATACTATATTTCTATACGTGTTTAACTATTAGACTGTATTAGCCTTAGTGAAATATTATTATCATTATAATTAGGTATACTGTCTAAAACGAGCATCAACTATAGAAGTGTACACCGGATTATTTCCGGTAGAGTAATTTAATAACCTGTCAAAGTAATACTCAATTTAAAACCAACGGTATCTATTTCTGTTTTTGCGTTGAAATATTATAAAAACTAAATGACCTAAACTAAATAAAATAGCTTGGTGATTTCGAAAATTGTTGGTTGAAGCCTGTGATAAAAATACGGTAACTGCGCTTTATGATTAATTTTTATTATTCATAATACTAATAGTTGTTAGGTGTATTTTAACTTATGACCACTAATGTTTCTACTCTCAAACACGATGTGTGTTCTTGAGAACGAACCAATAAAACTAATAAAAACAATGTATTGAAGATATTTCCACAATTGCTGAACCGATGTTTTCATATACAAATTGAAACGCTAAATCTATATTTAAAATACTTTTTTAAAATTGGTTACAAAAAAATACAATTTGTAAGGGGAGGATTAGAAATATACACAATATTTTGTATGTAAAATAGTTATTGATAGTACTTTAATTAACTAATATCGTTTAATTAACTATAATATATATGATAGAAAAATCTATATTCACAACGATTTATCATCTTGCTAAAACGTATATATTATGCTACATAAAACAATTTATATTGTTGGTTAGACACAATTTATGTGAACTACAACTAGTAGTATTAGCTTTAATAGTAAAATTGCTCAATGTAATGTAATGTTTTTTTAACAAAGGTCTGTAACCTTTTTACAATAGTATCTGAAAATGTGTCATATTTATTCACTAGACATTCATTTTCAATTTAATAACATCTTGTACACTACAAATTAAAACACCGTCTTCCTTAAATACATTTTTGTATTTTTCATGTGTAAATTATAGAACTAAAAAATGATATTATAAAAATATAAAAACTTAAAAATGTATATAGTCTGTGAAAAGAATTATAAGTCAAATAGAAAACGTCAAAGTAATGATCAGTTAAACGATAGTAAACATTAAAAAACTATAAAAAAAATTGGTAAATATACTCGTATATCAATAATTCATATTAAATCGTAGGTTAAATAAAGAGCAAAATAATGAAAAATTGTTACCAAAACTATTTTAAAACTGTCAAATAGTCACGAAAGGTATATGAGGTTTTAGTCGTGTGCTTTTGCTTGATGCCTTTTAAGATGATATTGGCAACTATACGATTTTTTACAGACGGAGCATTCATATCGTACCCCACCAATATGTATGCGTTCATGAGTTTTGAGGTTAGATTGATGACAGAATGTCTTTGCACAGACATCGCATTTGTAAGGTTTCTCTCCGGTATGTATCCTTTCATGATTTTTGAGATTAGATTTTTGACTGAATTTTTTTTCACAGACATCGCATCTAAAAAGTGTTTCTCTGGTATGTGTTCTCTCATGAGTCTTGAGAGAAGACTGTTGACTGAATTTTCTTTCACACACATTGCATTTAAAAGCCTTTTCGTCCGTATGAATCCGCCAATGTCTTTTCAGGTTTGATTTTGATGAGAACTTTTAAAACAAATACCACAAATAAATAGGACATCTTTGTTTCGAGTATAGTTATCAATAGAGTTTGTACAATTTGAAGTGTCGATCTCGTTACACGGATAATGAATACTGCAACACGCATGAAACAAAAATAAATTAATTTAAGATCAATATTTTATAGCAAATATTAATATTACTATTATTATATGTGTTAATGCATCAATCAAGCATAATTTTTAAGAAATAATTTCAAGGATTTCGCACACGACACATAATAGTGTTGAAATTTACCCATTTGAAAATATTTTTACTTGTGTTATTTTATAAAAATATAAAATATAATTTTTTATATTTTCAAATATAGAAATTAGAAAATATTTATTTATTTATCTTGTTTACAATGCATTAAATATTGGATTTTAAATGACTTCGTAAGTATTATAATATTTCAAATCTAAATAGGTAACGGTCAGTCTACATGTTTTATACATTTATAGAATATAAAAAAGGCGAGTATGTAATTTTGTATACAAAATATTATAAAATATTACTAGCAGTAGAAATACTCTGAATGTTATTTTTTAAGAAAAAAAAATAAAATAAAGGGGAGTTGAAGATGTAGGAAAGTACAACAGAATCATAGAATTAAATTTTCATCTCATCGAAAACTATAAGTAAATTAGCATTGAGAATAGCTACAAAATAAAAGAATAAGGGTAAAGAACATGAATGTATGCAATTTTAATTTTATTACAGACAATTTAACGCGAAACAGAGACTAGAAATATATTAAGGGGGCTCCATACCATTTTTAAGGAGTTTTGTATAGGCAATATTAAGAAAAAATTGGTTTAAATAAATTTCGACCAAGTCAATAAATTTACCGGTTAATTTGTATAAGCATCAAGGTATTATATTTACATAGATTGGGTCTCCTATCGACAGTTATTTTCAGTACCTATACTATATTTTCATTAAATATAATCAAATTATTTATATATATATATATAAAAAGTGGGCCAGAGAAACAGGAAAATTTGAAAGTTTTAGTGGCAGACCTAAGGAGCTTCTAGAAAGGCGATAGTGTTATTTTTATGTTCACAAGTAACTGCTATTTAGTAATCATGGATTAGTAGGTCGGTTTAGACACCCTAACATCCCCAAAGGCTGATTTGAAAGTAACTTATGCTTACTGTTAGTAATCAAACCTCACTTATTACTGTTATTCGTGACATGCATGATTCTTCTTTTAATAATTTAAGTAAACAACCTCATCACCTAACCGTCAATCAACGTTTACTTAAAACGGTAATTTATGCTTAAATTCTATTTTTCTTTATTACGTACGTGGTTACCTTAAAATGTGGTTTTTAATTCGTCGTTTTGTCTTAAACGATTTTTGGCAGTAATTGCAGTCAAACGTCGGTGTTAGCTCGTTTTCAGCATCAAACAGTTCATGCCTTACGATTTCAATATCTGATTCGAAAACACAATCATTGAAGCATTCTTTTTCAAATTTGACATTCAAATCGTCGTTATTGCAGCTAAATTTACAACAAACAAAATTAACAAAATTTATATTTTGTATTAAAATTTAAAAAAAAAAATACATAATAGTAACAAAAAAAAAGAATAAAGAACTTGCATGAATGTTAAAATTTAACGTGACACAGAGACTAGAAACATATTACAAGGGTAAAATACTTAATACCTGTGTAAAATAAAGAATAATTTAGTTTACATTGCTTGAAAAATAAAAACCGTCCAAATTTTCAGTGGTATATTTTGTTTTTTTTAAATATTTAAAACTAAATTTTAATTCACTTAAGTTAGATGAATAACACAAAACTACAAGTATGACTATTGACTTTCAGGTAAGAAGTCAAGACGATAAAGATTTAAGCTAAACGATAGACCATTTAGCGGACTAGGTTAATTTAATGTGGCGTTGATCCCGTATCATTAGACACAACACGACTCCGGTGTACGAAGCACCTATCATTTAGGATACATGGGATTTTATACTTTAATAACTAAATATGTGATTGGCTTCTTTTTGGTGTGAAAAAGTTACTTAGATGTACATGATCAGTTTCCAACAACTGAATTAAATATATTTTGGTTTTAAACTGCGTTTCATTCACTAATTCGTCAGTTTCGTGTTTATTGTTGGATACATCATAATGCTCATCAACTAAGTAATTAACAAAGCCTAAATTATTATTTTACTGTATATTCAGACTTTTATCTATAAATAGTTCAATAGCTTTGGCTTTTGTGTAAGCATAGAAGGTCTATTACCTAAAAGGAGAGTAAAAAAAAAATATATATATTTTTTTTAATATACTTAAAATTTGGATTTATTTATAATTCACTATCAGACCATTAACAGTTTAATTTTTATAGATATAAAAATAGAAATTACTTATGTATTATATATAAAACTTTTAAAATAGTATTTACTAAACAATTATTTTAAAAGAGTATACATTTTACTGAAAATTTAACTGATCGATAACAAGATTTAAATAAACTCATATGTTTAATATATTTTAAACCCTTATGATTTATAATAGCTTAAAGTGAATTAAGTTACTCATGAAAAGTTGATGTTTCTCTTTACTTTTTATAACGTCAAAAATAATTGTTTAAACAATATTATTAAAACTATTTTGAAAATGAATTATAACATCATCAATTAAATTTTTTTTTAAATTACGGAGGAAGTCATAGTTACAAAAGCTTAATTGTTTTATCTAGTAAAAAATGGTATTAAAATTGACTTACTCATAAGTATTGTTGACTTCATTCTTTACTATACACTCCTCTATAGTAGAAATTTCATTGTTTTTGAACTGCACATTTAACGGTTTGGGTGCAATGACTTCAAAGGAGCTTCAAATGAGGTTCTGTTTCATCATTTTCAAGTTTAATTTTCAGGTTTTAGTCGTGTGCTTTTGCTTGATGTTTTTTTAGAGTATTTTGGTGACCATACGATTTTTTACAGACGGAGCATTCATATCGTACCCCACCAATATGTATGCGTTCATGAGTTTTGAGGGTAGATTGTTGACAGAATGTCTTTGCACAGACATCGCATTTGTAAGGTTTCTCGCCGGTATGTATCCTTTTATGAATCTTAAGAGAAGACTGTTGCCTGAATGTTCTTTCACACACATTGCATCTAAAAGGTTTCTCGCCAGTATGTGTCCTTTTATGAGTTTTGAGGTAAGATTGTGTATTATAACATTTTTCACATACATCGCATCTAAAGGGTTTCTCTCCGGTATGATTCTTTTTATGAGTTTTGAGGTTACTTTGTGTATTAAAACCTTTTTCACAGATATCGCATCTAAAAGGTTTCTCGCCAGTATGTGTCATTTTATGAGTTTTGAGGTTTTCTTTTCGTCCAAATGTTTTTTCACACACATTGCATTTAAAAGCCTTTTCGTCCGTATGAATCCGCCAATGTCTTTTCAGGTTTGATTTTGATGAGAAACTTTTTAAACAAATACCACAAATAAATAGGACATCTTTGTTTCGAGTATAGTTATCAATAGAGTTTGTACAATTTGAAGTGTCGATCTCGTTACACGGATAATGAATACTGCAACACGCATGAAACAAAATAAATTAATTTAAGATCAATATTTTATAGCAAATATTAATATTACTATTATTATATGTGTTAATGCATCAATCAAGCATAATTTTTAAGAAATAATTTCAAGGATTTCGCACACGACACATAATTACTAAAATAGTTGTACTTTATCTGTTTGTATTTATGTTATTTTAAGTGGCAGCTCTGAGGAGCTTTTAGAAAGTCGATAGTGTTATTTTTATGTTCACAGGTAACTGCTATTTAGTAATCATGGAATAGTAGGTCGGTTTAGACACCATAATATCCCCAAAGGAGGACTTGAAAGTAACTGATGCTTACTCTTAGTAATCAAACCTCACTTATAACTGTTATTCGTGACATGCAGGATTCTTCTTTTAATAATTTAAGTAAACAACCTCATCACCTAACCGTCAATCAACGTTTACTTAAAACGGTAATTTATGCTTAAATTCTATTTTTCTTTATTACGTACGTGGTTACCTTAAAATGTGGTTTTTAATTCGTCGTTTTGTCTTAAACGATTTTTGGCAGTAATTGCAGTCAAACGTCGGTGTTAGCTCGTTTTCAGCATCAAACAGTTCATGCCTTACGATTTCAATATCTGATTCGAAAACACAGCCATTGAAGCATTCTTTTTCAAATTTGACATTCAAATCGTCGTTATTGCAGCTAAATTTACAACAAACAAAATTAACAAAATTTATATTTTGTATTAAAAATTAAAAAAAAAAATACATAATAGTTACAAAAAAAAAGAACTTGCATGAATGCATAAAATTTAACGTGACACGGAGACTAGAAACATATTACAAGGGTAAAATACTTGAAATCGTTGTTGGTGGAATGGTAGAAAACAATATAACATGGTAAATATCATGCGAATGTACGGTAACATAATGCAGTACTATAGACTTTGACCGGTCATCGTACCCAAAATTTTATTTTTTTGGTATTTTGGTTTAACATCATATTGATAAGAGGTAGATATAGTTTTAAAACAATCTTTAGTCAAACGAAGAAGTGGTTATTACTATAAGTTAAATGTCAGCAAACGCTAACGTCGATACCAACGATGGGTTTATAGAGGAGGACGACATAATTACAAAAGATTAATAAATTTATTTAGGATAAAAAAAATGGTTATAAAAATAGCCTTACACATAAGTATTGTCGACTTCATTCTTTATCAAATACTCCTCTGTTGTAGAAATTTCATTGTTTTTGAACTGCACATTTAACGGTTTGGGTGCAATGACTTCAAAGGAGTGTTGTTCTGTTTCATCATTTTCAAGTTTAATTTTCAACATTTTATACCGCTTCCAAACTCTATAATTGACATTTATACGACAAATTAATAACAAAACTTTACTATTTTATTAAGTATTAAATTTAGTAATAACAATGATATAACAAAGAATAATTTAGTTAACATGATTTGAAAAATAAAAAACCAACAAAGTTTTGAGTGGTATATTTTGTTTTTTTTTTTAATATTTAAAACTAAATAATAATTTACTAAAATTAGATGAATAACACAAAACTACAAGTACGACTTGTTGGTAAGAATCTAACACGATAAAGATTAAAACTAGACGATAGCCCATTTTGTCGACTACGTTAAATTAAAGTGACATTCTGTGTCATTCAACCAAACTCTGAGCAATTAGTAAGTAATAAACAAACACATATGGATTATGATTCTATTTATTAACAAGCAGCATTCTAAGTCAATGGAATACGGAAAACACGACAATAATGTATACAAAACGGTAGGTACTCACATAACGTAGAACCGTAAACCGCTGTTCACGGCTGCTACTTAAAACTTATAATAAATTATTAACAGGCAAGACAAAACACAATTATAACTTACTAACAAAACACAACGCAATACGGTTGTATTTATCATAAAATAAGTTATTATGATTAATAATTAGAAATTCTCACGAATCGGACCCGTAGCAACAATAATGAAAACAAATTGATTCTATGGCGCTAAATCTAATTGAACTAGTTATAATTCACAGAAAAGAGCGATTACAAAATAAAAATCTCAAATACTAACAAAAACAAAATTTGTATTTAATGTACGTTTATTAACGCAAACTGCAGGACAATGCAAACATTTTCTAGACAGATTTGTGATAGTGTGTTTGTGTGATAACAAGTAATTGTCACAGGTGGAGGTACACCGCAGCATGGAGGTAAATTGCCCATTCTTTTTCAATTTTGACATTCAAATCGTCGTTATTGCAGCTAATACTAAAACAAACAAAAGTGCAATACTTTATATTATTCTATTAAAATTAAAGCAGTTAATATAACTAAAAAACAGATATCATTAAGAAATAGTCAATAAATTAAATTTTTATAAAACTGATATAAATTTTATTTTTTATTTTTATTAGGCTAACAACTTTAAAAAAAAATATAAGATTTTATGTTAATGTTTTGTTTTTTTAATAGGTAACTAACGATTTAGCTTTTAAATATTTAGTCGTATTATAACATACAGATACAGTTCGAAGCGTATACAATAGTATTATGAACACTTTTAGAATAAATATGTAATGAATAAATTATTCTATATAAAAAAATACAATACTATTCGATTGACGACCTATGAGCTCTACTCTTGATTGAATTGTGAAATAGTTTTGAAGAATTTTCGTGTCAGTAAAGTATTAAAAATTAACTTTAACAAACCACAAAAATAAAAAGATTCACCTAGTTGAAACAATTATTTTTATAACTTAAATAGTATGTTTATATGAATAGGAAAAAATATATAATAATTATATTTCATGATTTTTTATGACATAAATTAATTTAAGAATAAGATAGATTAAACATAAAATTTAATTTAAGAGTATTTTGAAGAAACTATTAGAATTTAAATTTAGGTGTATTTCTATACCTAACATGCTTATTGGGTTTAAAAGAAAAACAGTTTGGCTCACATTGTTTTACAAATATAAACTAAATATAATTTTAAAAAAACATGAACTTATTTGGAAAAAAATGTTATATTTTAGAACACTGATAACAATTTTTTTTTTTTAAAGATTTTAATTTTATTTTATTTTTAAGTCAAATTAGCTTAAATATTTTATTTTATTTCAAAACATGATCTATAAACGATATGATACTACAAAATCATATAAGCTTTATTGTACATTGTAATCAAAGTTTAAGCTGTAGTATCTGTTATTTACTAGAATGACTATTGACTATTACTATTACTGTTTATGCAAATTAAAAAATCGCCTTACGCTGAAGTATTTTCATCAAATTCTTTTTTAATTAAACATTCCTCGGTTTTAGAACGACCATTGTGTGATTGTGTAATATGGTGGTTCAGTTTTCGTTTAGATGAAAATTGTTTTGAACACACACTGCATCTGACCGACTCTCTTTCGTCCATCAATTTGTCATTTGACTGCAGAATCAAAGGTTCTTCCACTTAAATCACAGTTTCAAACACATGATCATCAATTTGGTCGATTTCATGTTTAATTGTAATATGACTATAAGTCTTGTTATCTCTGTAAATAACAAATCGCAAACTATTATATTACAGCTGTATAAACAAGATTTTAACTACTAATGTATCAGTTTATTGCTTTTCTTAATTGTAGGCATGACGGGAAGAATGTATACTAGGTTAAGGAAAGTTATAGTAGTGTAAGTTTTTTTTGCGTTTGTTAAAGGTACTTTTTTAAATAATGTTTTAAAACAAAAATTACTAATATATAAAAAATCAAAACAAGTTACTTATATCTAAATAAATATAGAGGAACTTAAATTTTAGTCAATTTAGAAGCACAGTGAAAATTCACATTTCACTTAACTTTTTATAACACCAAAAATAACTGTATTTAAATATTAAACTAGTTATTCATCAACAATTGATTTTGTAATTAAGTAAGAGAAATTAGTTAAAACTTTATTAAATACAACTTTTAGTGTCCAAAAAAATAATTGAATCATAATATTGGAAAATATTAAAATCTTATAATCATATGCTTATCATATCATTATACTTCTAATAAATATATTTAAGATCTAATAACAAATTGAGACTTTTGTCGACAGATACAATTCACTTGTAGGTCAGATTTACACATATGTTATTTACTATAATAAGATGAAAAGTATATTTTTTGTTTGTACCTTCTAGTTAATTTATAATTAAAACTGAATAATTAGAGGTACTACACATCAGAAGCTAACGAAGAGATTTCTCTTCATCTGTTCCAACATAGTTTGTAGTTGAGTTTAAAGGCCAAAAAAATAAATAATTAAAAAACTAATTTTTATTCGTATTATTAATTTAATTATAAAAAGCAATTTTATAAGTGAATACCATAATATGATTTCAGAGTAATATCATTAAAAGCAATAATATTATAACAAAAACGTTTGATGTCTCTTCTGCCTTGGCAACCAGATGCCATGTTTTCTTTGAGTAATATATTTACAATGAAGTTCTCCCAAAGTAAAACCAAATACAAATAAATCATCAACAGCAAAATGTGTAAGTAATTTTCAGACTAAATTGAATTCACAAAAAGGTATAAAAAAAAAAAAAATAGTATTATAATTAAATACCATAGGATTTAAGAGTAATATCATTAAATGTAATGATATGACTAAATAGGGATGATGACTCTCCTACACTGTCAACCAATTGCCATTGATTTTTACAATTATTTTGTAATAAAATATAAGTAGAAACTTGTTTAGTACTTAGGCATGGTATTTATGGTTAAATTGTGTTTACATACAACTTATAATTTATTATTAACTACTGCAGCAGTGCACCTGTATCGAGCAGTGGGCATTGGTATAATAATCTCCGTCCATACTTTTGACTTTGTATCATAGTATTCTACAGAATTCAAATAATTCTTATTTGAGAAATCATAGCTACCAACCTATATCATAAAAATATACATCTATATTTTCTTGTACACAATGTGTATTCGTTATGTTAACTACAATAAAATTAATACATACGACATATATGTACTGCTTTTATGTACAAACAGCAAAATTTGTTCGTGGTTTATTCAATGGCTTTGTAGAAACCCATAGTTCTGATTCTGACTTTAGATCAAGCTCGTCTACATGATGGACCCATCGACCAGACTCATCTGCACCACCGATGGCAAGTATTATCCCATTTTCAGATACTACCATCTTTGAGCCTTCACGGGGAGGTAAAAAAAAAAATGATCGCTCGGTTTTCATTTTAGGTCATTAACGTTTCTAATATCCATATACTTTACACAGGAACCGGCACTGTTTGAATGACCAGTGATTGCAAAAACAATCTGAATTTACATAAACACAAACGTCAGGTGATACAAGCACATAACTAGTACAATTATTGTGTACCTATAACGTGTAAAAATCTTCCAAGAGTAGCTGGTGGTTTTGATTTGATGTAAATTTTAGTGATATTGTCTAAAATTCCTCTCATAACTAAAAAAGCATAACAATAATAATATTTATTTAAAAGACACATCAAACATATATTTCACTTATAGGCGCTATTGTATGTACAAATAAAGGGCAACAATTTAGATAGGAATATCAACAATATATATGCTTACCATTAGTATTATTTCCCACTAATGGATGATCATAAATCCTTAGTAGTCCTTCTTTTGAAATTAAAGGCAAACGTAAATATTTCATAAGAACCGGTAACAAGTCATTACGTTCATCTGTGTTATAGCGTATCCAACCAATGATAAAATCAAATATCTAAAATAAAATCTTAAATTATTATTAAATAACTGTAATGGAGCCAACATTATAACAAGTAATTTTTTTATTTATTATTAAGTCACAGTTATTATACCTTTTCCTCAGAATCAATTACTAAATCATCATGTGCAATCAACTTGACAACATCATCAAATTCGAAGCCATAAAGTGTTTCTAATGCTCGATCCGAATTTACAATTATACTAAAAAACTCTATGTTTTATTATTTAATAATTTAAACGTTGCGATCATATGTTGCACCTGATTACTAACGTGAAATGGTATAAAAAATATAGCCAACAAATATTGTAAATCTTTTCATCTAATATTGATTTGGAATTGTTCATAAAACTAACACAATTTGTAGGATTTATGTTTTCTTTAATATGTTTAAAACATAACTCTTTTATATGATTTAGACCATACATATTAGCAGCCATCAACAGTTCTACAAAATATAATAACAAGTAAATAAAAATAGTGTAATATTTTATAAATTGTATATCCTATTGCATATTTCCTACTTCACAATTATTTTCTTTAGTATCCAGTTTAAAAGTATATGCAAATTTCACCACAAATTCTAAAATTTCAGAATCTATATCTTTTATAAGAATCTAATTTTTATTTCTTTCTCTAAACTGTCCACTGAACATCGTATAAAATACATGACTCGCAGAGGCCAATATTTTTCTGTGTGCTTCTATTTTTAAGCTTTCATCGGTAACTAAGGTAACATCACAAAATTCTTTTTCCCTAAAAAAAAGTATTCATATTAATGTATTTATTTGCAATAGTAGTAATAAATTACTATAAGATTTAAATTGAAAAAAAAAAAATTCTGAAAAGCAATAACAAAATATGCAATAAGTGTACATAAATGTGGAATAAGAATCATGATATTTAAAAAATTATATAAATATTGATAATAATGTGTAGAAACTATTGTTTTCTCGTTTTTTTCGTAGTGTAAACCAAAAAAAAAATTAAACAAAGCTCTTGAAAAAGCCATAATATAAGTTTTGCTTATTTGGATTATGTAGAAAAATGATGCATGATTTTTAAATGAAAGATTTGAATTATACATTTTTAAAATTCAATTAACACCATTTGTTTTTTTATTTACAAATAAAGTACATTTTTAATTATTGTTTTATTTAATGTAAAAATAGTAAAAGTATTTACCCCATAACTTTTAAAACAAATATTTGTATATATATAGGTATATGAATATACAGTGTAATTTTACCGTGAACCATTCAATATCTTATAGGGTTTAATAAACATTTTTTTTTCCATCATGTTTTTATAAATTTACAACTTTTTTTGTTTTTATCCCTTCTCAATTTACATTATTTTGATAGCAACTTCTGATACTTTAATGGTAACGCATACATTTCATGAACACTTTAAATTGAGAACAACGTACTAAAGTTTTTAGCTGGCCGATAACATAACCAGTTTTGGATAACTATTTTTGAAGTTATCAGAGTTTCAAGTTAAGGGCAGGAGGAAAAGGATAACTTTACAAAAGTATTGATTCATGATCGGTTTGCAACCAGTCAAAATCTTAGATACATTATTCTTGATTACAAAAAATTAATGAAATTAATGCGTTACTATTTTATTTCAAAAGTAGCAATCAAAAAACTGGGAGGGGGTACATATGAACAAATATCGATATTTGTACAATAATAATCAATGGTAATATTATGTAATATTGGTTTTATTGGGTATCAGTTTGTGATAACGGTTTTGTGTTAATATCGGTTCATAGTTTTTGCAAAAAATTATGCATTTTTTAATATATCGGGTATCGGTTTTATATCGGCAACATATATCGGAATATCGGGTATCAATAAAAATGGTATCGGCCCATCTTAATAATAAACAATATGAAAATAAAAAATGTAATTTCTTATATAAACCCTAATAGATATTGAGTGGTTTACGGTAAAATTATCACTTGTATATACCTATTAAAGTAAAAAGTTTATACCTACACCCCAAGACTTCTCAGGGAACAATAAAAATACAATCATTTATCGGCAATAAATAATACTTGTACAAAACTTATCAAATAAAGACTTACTCATAGAATTGATAAATTTTTTCAAAGTGTTCTTTCATAATAACTTCCATAATGGTTTGCTTGTATTACAGTTTAGAATATAGATGTACCTTTTCTGTGTTTGATTGTCAACTAATTGTAAAACTAGCTTGTCTAAAACATAAATAAATATATAAATATTATAAAACATAATTTAAATATAAAAACCTGAAGAAATGAGGTTCAGCTGTAGTTCTAAGTACACTACTTTTATATACTTCTATGTTTTCAGGTAGAAAATTGTTATATAATACGTAAATTATGTTTAGTTTTTAGAAACATCTCCTGGATCTAAAAATACTAATCCAAACAAATTCTAAGCCTATTATTAACTATCGTTTCTATCTTATAACCTACAACTAAACAAAATTGTTAATTTGCTCTCCACCGATTTTGTGTTACATGAAACCTACAACTAATTAATTACAATGCCACTTCTCTTCACCTCATTTCAAATCATTTTTGTAAAAAAAAGTGTTAAATTATTTTTAAATATAACAAAGTTTTCCACATTCACAGATTAGTTATTTAACGTATCTTAAGGTAAGTATAATAATAATATGTAGTACGGGAAACACGACATACAACTCATTAGGTTTGAATGACAATCAAAATGCTTTAAGAACCAGTGGATTTTATTTACAATTACAAATAAACCCTAACCACAATAAAAATATACTTTTCAGCGTATACGTATTACAGCAACTATGTTGCCATCATCAGCGCTAACCGTAGATTGTTGACGGATTTCATTTATTTACTATCTGACCCAAGCAGCTCTTACAAGCAATTCGTTGAAATTTACAATCGTCCGATAAGTAAAATTTAAAAAAAAGAACCAACAACACATCATGAAACTAACATTTTGACATTGTATTTGTTATTGTTACTCAATCATTCAGTAAACTACTCAGAATTTAAAAAATAATTCTAAATTTTTAAAAATAACAAACTAGATATAACGGAACGATAAAAAGTGTTTTAATTGGACAATGAATAAAAAAAGAATATCCTAGATAAATATATAATCTAACCTGTTAATAATTATAATAATAAAAAAATATAATAATATAATCGAGTCTACAGTATATTCCTTTTTTGTGTCGTTAGTTTAAGCAAAACATTTTTAAATTTATGAATATATTTTAAGCTTCATAGTTTATCTTTACAAACTATAATAGTTCTGCAACCACTTATGTATTTAATTTTTCTATTTTGCAGTAATCGAAATAATCCTCAGAGTAAATTAACAAACGATAGCTATTTTAACAATACATTATATTACAAATAAAACAAAAACGACGAGTGTTATGAAACAAATTTTAAGTTACATTATGTTGTTGTCCTCATTGTATAGATGCGCCACTGTATTGGCCAAACAGATGATAAGATATATTTTATTAGGTTCCAAATATTCCAACTGGCTTTGCTATCATCAGAATATGCAGGAATAATATTTGAAAAGCGTTTATAGAAAGATGACGGCATAACTAATACATTTTTAATGTTTGTAATGAGTAAAGTGTTAAGTGTTATTTAACTACTTTATATTTATTTTAACTTTGTTTTTGAGTAGTACAGATAGTTTTTTAACCATTGAAAACTAAATTAAATTTACTTAAATTAGATTAATAACACAAAACTACAAGTATGAATTGTAGGTAAGAAGGTAACACAATAAAGATTAAAGTTAGATATACACATGCAGTAGTCTAAGCCAATGGAAGACAGAAAACACAGCAATAATGTAAATAAGTAAGAAATACAAATCAGTAGGTACTCACACAACGTAAAACCGTATACCGCTGTCTAGGGCTGCAGCTCCAAAACTTATAATTAATGATTAACAGGCAAGACAAATATGAACTGTAACGCAAATCGAAACGAAATACCGAAACACGACCAAATTATTATGATTTAATATTTAGATATTCTCACGAATCGGATCCGTAGCTACAACAATGAAAACAAACTGTTACTATGGCGCTAAATTTAAATTAACTAGTTAACACTCACAGAAAGGAG